AAGTTACATAAATGTCCTTTAGCACGTTCCTTGTTCTGAGGGCTAATGTACTGTAGCAATTCATCAGTCATTCTAATAGTCTTTTAACTTCTGTCAGAAAGCCTACTAAATGCTAACATCTTAAATGTTTAATATTCTAAAACATATTTTCATTAATCATGCAAATTATCTGGGCATCCATATTTTACCATAATCTATTTTGAGATTAGGAGGCCTGTGGCTTTGTGTGTAAGAGCCCCATGTTAGTGAGTGATATTGTAGATGAAACATAACTTAGAATCAAAGAATTTTAGAAGCAAAAAGTTGCTAAAGTTGCAATTATAATCCTAGTATCTATGTGCTATCACATTTATATACACCCCCTATAATGCTATTAATGTCAGATATTTCTGAGTAGGTAGCAAGCAGCTAAAATATGTACTTGCTTCATTCTGCCGTATTATATAGTTGTTGGATGGATATTAATGTTAGTATATAGTGTATTGTCCCAATAAAAATGACCCTACATTTCATAGCAAAGTGGACTGTGGGTTTAGTTGTTAGTACAGGAGAGAACAAGTATTCCTCGCAGTTAGGTTAGCCTGAACTTCACCATGAAATTCTTCATTTATATGCTGCCAGTCACCCTAATTCTAGGAATTCTTAGCTGCTTAGAAAAAGGAGACATATGTATATGGGTCCCATGAAACAGATGGATGCAAAATTGAAAGGATATAGAACATGAGTTTTGGTGGTAATAGTGGAAATGCTTTATTCTTTCCTTATTTTTTTTTTTTCCTTTCTGAAGCTGCTTGATTGTCAGCAGAGATGGAGATTGGTAGTAAAACAGAAAGAAAAGACCTGAGATCATGTAAATGCATTTATCTTGGAGTCATGGAGCTGGTGCTCAAGAATATGACCTGGGTAACTGGGATCACAGGGATGGTGGATCAATGTACCAATCCAGCTCCCAATAGGAAACACAGTCCAATTTAGGGTAATTCAAGAAAGGCTTATTCTCAAAGGGATTAATTACAAAACCATGGGCAGAATGGAGGGAAGGGGAACTGATAATAGTTGAACAGGTAGTGGGGCTATCAGCACAGAGCTGTTACTAACCCAGGTCTTCCGAAAAGAGGGAAGGGAGTAATTACCAGAATCTGGATAAAAGAGTCCTATAAAAAAGTCACCTTGAGAAAACTAGAGACCTTTGATTAAGGGAGACAACCAGCACAAGGTGACCTCATGGGAAGAACAAATATCCTGACTTCACTCCCCTTTCTCCCTGCAGCTTCCCATTCACTGAGCTCAGCAGGATCCCAGAGGGCCCAGATCCAGGATGTAGTCCACACAGGTTAACCCCCCTGAGCAGGACACTAGGGCTTCCCAGGTGGAAAGTGGACTGGAGAGAAATAGGGGCCAGAATCATCTAATTTTGATATGAATGCTACTTCTTTAGTTACGCTACCAAAATTTATAGCTACCCTTTGAATGATTTTATGTTTCTCTCTTTTTTTAAAACCATTTCCTGTATTTTCTTTAATGGTTGTTTTCCTTATCTTAACAAAGTTTCTTGCAGCATTGCTGCATCCTCAGGACACCTGCATGAACTTCCTTAGCCCCTGAGTAATCAGATTTTTAAAAAAAAAAAACAAACCAGATAAATGTGATCCAGACAGTTCATTATTCTCCCTATATCACTTTTTTAGTATAACAGTATGTTTTTAAATGTCTGTAGTTTGCATTGCTAAAAGAACACTTAAGACTTCACTTTTTTACATGGTTTGCCTTCTAATTATATTTCTCTAGTAACATATTTAACCATTACTTCCTGAATCATGGATTCTAAGGTGCAATAAAAATCCAAATGGAAATATATTTGTTTTTATGCAGAAACAGATTTTTTTCCACAGCATTTTCAATGATTGCTGCAGGAATGAATGAGTAAAGGTTTCAGGAATAAATAGTTGCAGAAAACCAACTTACTGTCATACATAAGTCCATGCAGCCCCTGGGTACAAGTACTTATGTATCTCCTTTTGTTGAGTTCTCTATTTTTTTTTATGAATATGTATATTGGGGAAAAAACTTCCATCTGCTCTCTTTTAGCTGATTCTATCACATTTTTGAGCTGTGCATCATTATGGAGCTTCAGAGAAAGATGATCATTTACATTACATATGGATATAAAGGAGAGAAGAAGTTGATGAATTGCAAACAAGTATAATTTATATGGACAAAGTGTGCCAGAAGTGCTTTTCACCCCATTTTACTTGGCAAATGGAATGATTCCTGCCCATTCGCTTGGCCTAGTGCCCAAGAACTCAGAGAGGAAACGACCCTGTTAGACTTACGCATCAGGATCCCACTCCTGCCCTATGAGGAAATGCTGCTGTGCACTCAGGCCCACTGGGGACCCCAGAAGGTCAAAAGAGACCGCTGAATATACTAATGTCATTTTTTAGATTCTTCTCTCATGGCTTCTTAATTTATAACGTACATCACACAGACCTACTGATACTCTAACTGTTGGTAATTCAAATGTGAGAAGTTTGCATGATGAAGATAGGGAAGGGATTATAATGACAAGCTCATATGATGTGTTCCTGGTAGCCTCTCAGCCTCTGCACTTCCATTTCCCATGGCAGGTTATTTGCCGAAGTGCCCAGAAGCTTCATAAATAGATAAATATCTACATTTAGGGTGCCTTCCTAAATCCTTCGCTGTTACCTATAGCACAATCATCTTGTGACTCTATAATTTGTGAAAGCCCAGGGCCCAAAGTGCGGTAATGACTCCAAATCTTTTATTTATTTATTCATTCATTAATGTAAGCATTCATTTAGATATTCAATCCTTCATTTTTCAAAAATTATTTCTCCTATCATGTGCCAAAGGTGAAGAATTGAGGCTAAATATAGCTTAGCCTCTTCCTAAGGTGGTTAGGAATGAGCAAAGAAATATTCTGTTGTGACAAAATGGTCATTTGAGAAGTTCTGTTAAACCAACAGATTCTCTCTCATTGCTTCTAGCCAACACAATTGGCCTAGCCCTCAGACAATGTGTGTCTTAAAAGTTTCAAATTAGTACAAGTCCATGTCTGTATTATAGTAGCATGTGCAATGCTTCCATTGTGTGTTCAGACATCAGTAGATAGAAATGAAGTAGTGGATATAATAATGGTAGTGGTTTTTATGCACATACTACATGTATCATGGTGTGTGCTTTACATATATTATCTCATTTAATCAATAACATTTTGTAGATCAAAATAAAGAAAAAAGACTAACCTTAGAGGATAAATGACCTAACCAAAGTCACACAGTTCTCCAAGCAGATGGTTCAACTCCATGACTTCCAGTCCATATGTTTAGGCCAGCATTGGGTGTGATCAGAGAAATTCAGTGGTAAAATAGGAGGTAGAATAAAAGGAGGGTTGCTTCTATCTTATTTTCCTAAACAAATAACCTGGTCAAATCTAGAAACTGCAGTTCTTTTACCTATATTTAGTCTCTATTCACTTTGCTCTCAACTTTTACATAGTTTTAGTATGACTTCCCACTTTATGAAGAAGTACTTGAAGTCTGTATGCTAATTAGTTCTACAGTTTTCTTTGGTGGTGGGGGGGGAATGGAAGTGCGTGCCTGCGTGGGTTGATGGATTATCTAAAATTTCTTCATGTTATTTTTCTCAGAACTTACGCTAGTAACGGAAGTTTCTCAACATGAAATGTCATCAATTTGGCCTCACTCAGGAAGTTGCAAGGCACTTGACTGTAACCTCAGTGAATTTAATGTTGTCTAAAAACTTGATAATCTTTAGCTGCCTATCATTTGAGAAGCTTCTGTAGATATTTCATTTCTGAACTAACTTCTTTGTCAATTTAATTGATTTTTTAAAAATTGTAATCAAATACTTTAAGATAAAGATGTGTTTTTGTTTACATCAGGAATAGAACAGGGGGAACCCAGAATTTAAATTATCTGATTTTTTTATTAATCAAAAAAATATTAGGAGGATTTTATCCACTTACCTGGAATAAAATTTCTACAACCATGTTACAGCATACTTGAATTTGCAAATATAGAAAATCTCTGGGATCAGAATAATCATTGTGCCTATAAAGATTTTGCAACTGTTTGTATACTGAAAGACTCAGTTGGTTTCATTGGCAGAAGCTATAGGGTGATTCTAATACAGATATAGTATCCAAAAGACCTTTGCTAGCAAAGAATACATGTTAAATGTCTAAATATTGTTGAGTGAATAGATGAACAAATGAAACTGGGAATCTCATCTCAACCTAGAAACACAAAGCCAGTATCATGATCTTGTAATTATTAAAATCTCAACCTTCTAACCATCTTTTTTTAACTCATGTTTCAAGCTTCTAACCATCTTAAAAAGCTGACTCATGTCTCTTACACAGCCCAAAGCAGTAGAAGGTCCAAGTCCAACTATATCAGAACCTTGGATGAACTATTTCTTGCCTTTCCATTCTTCTTTATTCAGCTTTCCATGGTCAAGAGCAAAACTTGTCTTCCTTCTTTGTATGTCCCCTATCCCACACTGAAGGAGCTGAGAGTAGAGCTACAGGAATCCAGTAGGTAGCAGTATTTAAAGTGAAGGCTGCAACTATCTCTGAAGGCAGAATATGATTTTGCTATGCATGTGTCCTTGTCGTGCAGTGCTCCATGCGTGGGCCTTCCTCCTAGCAACCTGAACCTCATGGTGTTTCCACTTTTCTTCCTTCTCCCATCTTTGCAGGAATCCAGTCTCTCTCCCTCTGCTTCAATCTCCTCAAGACCTCTGCAGTACTTCTACTCAAAAGTATTTCCCTTCATCCTTGACTGGGTACCAGACTTTCATTTTTAAGGGATTGAAGCTATGGCTGAGTATGCTCCATGGGCAATTCTCACTGTTTTACCAGCAAGTATTTCCTTAGATGATTCCCAACCTAGGCTTTCCTGACATCTCCATAAAGAAGCTGTACTCTCCTGACCTTGAGGAAACAGGTTGATCAAAGACTTAAAATTATTCTCAGTGGGTGGCTGTGTCCAAAGAGGCCTGACAATAATCTATCTGGAGTGGTTACCATGGCAAGAGGGGGGCCGTCATGGTGGCAGTATGTAGGATCATTGAAATCGAAACACCAATTTCCTGCTGTGAAGGGGGAAGAATAGAGGTAGACATATGCTTTATGCCTGACGTGGGCACTGCATATGGGATTAAATCTCAGGGATATGGGAAAATATGCTAGTGATTAACAGTATATAATATTGTCTCCTAGCATTTGAAATAACATTTTGTGTTTCCTATTTGTTTGTAAGGTATTATGTTTTATTTGTTTAAAGAGAAATTAGGTTACTTTGGAAAGAATGTACTTTAGTTTGAGTAGATTGATTTAAATATGAAGATGGGATCTGTTAGATGGGACTAATCATCATATTCAGTGTGCTCCAGCCAACATTTTCTAAATGGCCACTCAGTGCCAGGTATTTATTATGTTAGGCACCAGAGATTTAAAAGGTAAAATAAAATAATCTCTGTCACAAGGAGATCACAATCTGCTATAAGGGTAGTTGTCATGCAAATAAGTAGAGTGAAATGTGACAAGCAGTATAACCCACAATTTACATGTTGCTATGTAAACACAAAGAAGAAAGTATTAATGGCAATCATGGAAGGCTTCACAGAATAAGTGACCTTTACAATGTGTCTTGAGACAGAACAGAGGAAGATTTCTGGGTGAAGAAAATAGCAGGAGCCACTCTGGGAAATTAAATAGCATGTGAAAAGTCACAAAAGGAATAGTGAATTCAGAACATTCTAAGTAGGTTGTTATGGCTGGAATGTAGATTGAGAGGTGTGGGATGGGGTGAGTGGGGGGAGATATGATTTATAAAATACATTAAAAAGTGGTTGGGAAAGTTTAAATATTATACTAAAGATAATAAAGGGCCATCAAAAATTTTCAAGCAGGAAAGTGCCTGATTTGATTTGTGGTTTAGAAAGATTATTCTGGAGGCTATGTGGAGGATGGATGAGGAGGTCAGTTGGAAAGCTATTGCAATATTCCACACGTGAGATAATGAGATCCAAAGCAGTACAGAGACCATGGAAATGGATAGAATGCCACAAATATGAAAGCACTTCTAGAGGTAGGAATCATAGGGTTTAATTACTTATTGAATTTGTATGAGGAGGATGTGTGTGAGATGAAACAAAAAATGATTTTCTGCTTTCATGACTGGCTAGGTGTTGGTACCAGTAAAGAGAAAGAAAGGTTGGAAATAAAAAAGCAGAGACATATTTGTAGGGAAAATCAATGATTGGGGTATGTTGAAGTTTCCTGGGGTTATTCAGTAAGTTGGGTAACATAGCATTGGAATTCAGGAGACAGACTGAGGTTGAAATAATATATTTTGGAATCACTAACATTAAAAAAAGAAAGTGAAGACTGATTATAACACCTTCTCTGGTAGGAGATCTTTTCTCTAAAGGTCTAATATTAAACTATTTTAAATAACACTAGTCTGGAAAATACAATATGCACATAGTTCTTTTTATTATTAAAATTAGGGCATGTAAAAGTTAAAAAATATTTACACTTAAAGACAAAATATTTGCAGTTATTAAAATTGGTTTTACTAAGTCGAGAGTGACAATATATTCTTATCTATATTTTATATCATATAACAGAGTTAAAAAAATAATTACTGACTTTCTACTGTGAATCAGGATAAAATGTCTCCAATATTAACTCATACTTTCCCAATAAGTATGAAAATGAATGTAGACGCTTCTTGGAGAAATCGGTTCACAAAGACATCCTCTACTACTATTCATTCAATAATATACATAAGTACAAAACTGGTATAAAAATGTTTGTTTTTGCAGATTTTATCATTTTGTATTTGTAAAATAAAGCCAAATAAAGCATATGTCACATATATCAAAAGCTTACACTATGCCTTTTCTAATACAGAAAGTGAAATATTAACACATTGCATTTAAAATAATAAATATACATTTTATTTACAATAATTGGGATGTTAGAGATATGAACTTTTATGTACAGTCATTCAAATGAAAACATTTTAACTTTAGGTTATATTTGCAAATATTTCTATTCTTCTAGTTGATCTTTTAGCTCAAGAAGCATTAAAATGGTATGTATCTGTAAATATATAGTTGAGAAGGTGTGTTCAGTCACTTGGCTCTGTGATGGAAATCTTATGTACCATGTCAGGCAGATTTTCAGAGTCCAGATCTTCTTTGCCATTATCTGAATTTCCTGATGAAATATAACAACCAGAGTCCCTTGGGCAGTCATCTAACTGTGACTTATTTGAGGAGATGTCTGGGCTTAAGGATAGGGGCACAGGTTCATTTTCTTGCTCTTGAACAGCTGTAAATGGAAAAGAGGGCAAGAGTTAGACAAAGCCAAGAAAAACTATTTATGTATTCATTCACTTTCAAGTATTTTACTATTTTAACTGTTCCATCCTTTTACTTCATTACAATGGAAAGTTCTACAAGTAAAAGATACCTTTGTTTATTATACAAGAGATATTTGTACTCAAATATTCAAGCCATTGTTTTCTTAGAAGACAAAGTTTGTCCTTCATTGTTCACTTGGAGTTTCATGGAATTGTTGTGAGTTGCCTGCATAACCAAAGATCAATATGGACTCTCATTTTACATTAATAATAAGTTGCCAGAGAAAGCAGATTGTATCCACAGTGTGACTGATGCCTTGTCCAAATACTCCTTAAAGTATCATTAGAAAAAGTCATTTATAGTTTAAATGTACAATCAAAGTCAATAGTGATCTTTGCAAACAAATCCAGAATCTTGATAAAGTGGATTGATGAATAAAAGATCACTATGGGCAACAATGTACAATAGGACTTCAATCACTTGGAATTTAACTAATAAAACTTTCAGTATCCAGAATTTTCCTATGTTTGCATTTATCAGAAAATAGACCCATAAGAAATCAGGTTTCTTTTTGAGAGTAAAACACCAAGAGTTTCATTGAAATCTGCCTTATGAACATCTAGTTTGTCTTCCACATCTTTATCTGTAGTTCTGAATAATAATCTTTTATATTCAGATGGATAATTTGTGTCATTAAAGCAGTGTTCTATATGCAACAGGCAGTACCTTTTAGAAACATTTAATATTAGACATATAACAAAAGACACTTCTAAAGAACCTAAGAAGCCATATAGTTAAAGTGATATTTTTCTCAAGATTCCTTTAGTATTAGCTTTATCTTTGTCAATGTAAAGTTTCTTTGTATTCCCTGACACTAGTAGGTGAGTGTTCCTCTGTGTCATAAGCTTGAGTTCTTCAAAGAAATGGATCTCAGGCTACTGCCTCTTTATAGCATTTAATGCCTCTATATTAGCGTTTTCTCTTTCCCCTTTTAATCTGGGGGCTTCACCACTTTATACATTTGAATAGCTCCATGTTGGAAGAACCAAACACATTCATTTAAGGTTGGGACAAGAACTCTACCTTAAGGGGCTAGGTACTTCATCCCATTCTAGTGAGAAGAAAGTAAATCCGAACTTCAAAATCCTTAGAAAAAGGAGATTATATACTTTTTTTAAGAGTTTATTATAATGATAAATAGTTTATCCTTAGGAAACCCACCCTTTATTGTATTTATATATCTCTTGCTTTTTAAATGCATTTTCTAGGTTCCAAATATCTTGCCAACATTAGTTTATGATCCATTGTGTATCCAATTATAATGAACCTCCATTACAAGTGAGAGAATTGAGCCCTGGTTTCCTAAGGCACCCTGGTATGTAATGAATTAATTTCTAATTAATGTATCTAGAATGGTACTAGGTATGCACCATGCATGGGAGAACTGAGAAAATTGTCACTTAAAACATCTTCTGTATTCTGTAGTTTAGATGAAGAGCACTCGTTGAGAAAGGATGGAAGAAATGATAAAAATTGTTTCTTAGTCTACTCATCTTCAAGATGAATCATAGCAGTTCTTTTAACCTTTTCTTTAAGGCTTTTATTTGCAACAGTGAAACCACATTTACACCATTTTTCTGAATCTTCTCCACATTGGCTACAGCTTTATTTAACTGTGGATTTGAACATCATATATTTAAGTCTAGTAATGCCATAACTAGTTTTAGATATAGGAACCTTAATGCATCTATTGTGATTGTTCTTTTTAAATGTTAGCTGGCATAAAGGATTTTCTGTTTATTACTCATAACAGTTTTTATGTTTGGGAGGATTTACTTACTATGCACTAGTCTTTATGAGTATTAGTCATTCACTTTTGTTTTCAAGCCCTTCTTTTATGAAAAGGCAGCACTAAGATGGGACCTCATTCTCTGAAGAATTACATTTTCTCCTGCCTCTCCTTTTTTATCTTATTGCTACTGAAATGAAGTGAGCCAGCTCTGTGTTCCATTATGCAAGTGTTTCTGGAAAAGGCCAGAGGAATTAGTTCTTGTGTGTGCATCCTGCCACATCAGCAATGATCACTGTATTCGAATTGTGACCCTTTTAGTTAAAATGGTTGTGGGGATAAAGCCACATTCCCCCAGATTATGTTTGGGCCTATAACCTCAATGCAAAATTAAAGGAATTGAGCTACTTCCCTTCAAACTTATATTCTAAACAAGACTTGGCAAAATAAAAACTGTTTGCTACCAATACTCTGTTCTATTTAGGTTGATTACCAATGGTGGGAGTCTCTTCAAGATATAAAACTTAGTCCTAAAGAACTCTAATTTCTAAAATTAGCTCTTTTCCTTTCATGATATATGTACTTAGCTTGTTATTTCATCCTTAGCAATTCTACACATACACCTTGATGGCTAAGAATGTAAACAGATAATAAATCAAAAAATTGACTTTACCAGAGCATATATCAGTGTTTAATATTAATAATAAAATATATTTGTTTTTATTTCCACCTGAGAAATGCTATATCACATTATCTAAATTCTAGCAATTGGTTTGTTTTAAATATAGACTATTTATGGTAGAAACCTTTCATCTGCATTTTTTAAGGAAAAAGAGAATAGTTTCACAGTATGAAAGTTGTATAGCATGGTAATTTACAGAACAGCAGTAATTTGCTAAATGATTTCCTAGTGACATGAAAACATGACTATGTCTCCTCAAATGCTTCCCACCAGGCTTGCAATAATTTCAGGCAGGTGATCAGCTGGAGCCCCTCAACTGTAACTATAAAAAGAAAAGGCAGGTCATTATTTTATATTATGGAGATGAAAGCTATATGACATTCACTCTGTGTATTTGGAGGCTCAAGATTTTCCTTTCCTTTTTTCTTTTCATACTGCCACTAGACAAGGATTGGCAAAAGCCTAGGTCTTGTGCTATGGGTGTCTTTTTTTCCTGCAGAGGGGGTGAATTCACACTAATGCATCCATCCATATTTTCTTTCAAAGCCATTTAGTCTCTTCATGTGGCCATGAAACAGAGTGAAGCTAACTGGCCTACCCAGAAATTGAAACCATAACCTTCATCAGTTTTGTCCCATGGTTCAATCATCTGAGCTAACCAGGCAAGTAACACATTGGAATAAGAAACAGTTTGCCTCCAAAATTACAGGCTTCCCCTAGGGTATCTCAATGCACCTTTTTATAAGAAAATGTTTCAGGTAATATGTTAGGTTAGAAAAAAAGTATACACAATTTACGTATTCTATTATTAAAATTATATAAAACATACACATATACAGGATTTACAAATGAAAGTGTTCAAATTTTGGATATTTCCCCTAGATTTTCAGATCATCTACAATGTTTTATTGTTTATTTCTTTTAAGTGAAAGAATTAAAATGTTTTAAATTTTCAATAAAGCCCCCAAATGGCTTGCAAATATCCCAAAGACTATACATTTTAAATCTGTGTATATTGAAGAATTATTAAATAATTTGAAAAAGGCTCTCTTTCTTATTGCTGCAGGCATAATAGGAACAAGCTCCAGAAAAGAGTACAGCTCTGTACTCTATATAATATTAATCATGTTAAGAAAAAATTATTTAGGAAACATTTCATGAGGAACTAATTTGAATACTAAAATATTTTACTTTCTACCAAAATTGTTATGGAATTGTATAAAGCCCATGGATCAACATTTTAAGATAATCATCAATGTAGAAAAAGTGGTATGGTGATTAAAACAGACAACAGCTAATATAGTTATTCATAAAATAATTATATTGGAGTTGTGACATTTAATTAAGTATAGGCAATCTCAATTATACTAAAAATGGAAACGTTTTAAGGAAATAAAACTAGATCTTTACTCTGGAAAAAGTTTTCAGATTCTAAAGAGAGAAATCTGCCCCATATTCACGTATTAAAAAGGTAAGGATTAAAAAATGAAAACTACTAATTTTTGGTTGACTTTTCCAGATATGATTACTCAAATCTTCCGGATTTTGACTTTACTGTCTTCTTTGCCTTAGGTCTGAAGCTTCTGTTTCTTTGGGCCAACTATTATAAAATAATGCAATCTAGAGAGCATAGGAAAATGCCTGGCCAAAGAAAGTACTCAATAAATAATTTTTTTTAAATAAGCCCAGTGATGTTTAGATTAATTAAAGGAAATAAGAAATAAAGACGATCAGAAAAAGAATTTTGTTGAAATTTAAATGAAGGTACCTCTCAGCTCTATGAATTATTCTATTTTTCTTTAGCCAGAGATACATATCTTAGGATGACTCAAAAACCTCAACCTCATGTTGAGCAACTCAGAAGAAAATCCAGCCACTCTCCAGGTAACCATGGCTGTATTTATTTGTCTAAAGGCAGCATTATTCACAGAGGAAAATTTAGCAGACAATATGGCACAACTCTCAGTTATTTTTTATCTTAAGCATATCTTTAAGTTACCTGTCCACTTAAATTTTCTAATTATAATGACTATTTGTCATTCATTTCATTTGAATGCTAACCCACCTTTTGGAAAAATAACAAATGAAAAACAGCAATCCATTCATGGAAAGATAATCAGTTGCTGCTGTTTTCCTGAGGCCATGAGAGAATGTGGAGTTGAAATGACTTCCCCTCTTTTTGCACATCTCTCTTTGCAGTCTAGTGTCATAGCCTACACTCTAATCAGATGTGTACCAGGGAGTAAATTTGTTCACTTTTACCCACGGCAATCTCCATTTGCACTATGCTGGGTTCTTCAGTAGGAGCAGAGGCATGCTCACTCCAGATCACAATGACTTGGCACCAGCATGGACAATGCCATTAGGTTGCTACTTTCCCCACCCACACAAGCCATGGAAGACGTTGATCTCAGGAATTATTCACCCTCAGTTGAGTTGTTTTTATGTTAGACTGACTATATTGATAATGATCAAATAAGGTTAAAAACTATCACATATTATTTAATTTGGGGCCTGGGGAAATCAATATCATATTTCTTATAGGTTAATTAATCCCATTTGCTAGATGAAGGAGTTAAGAACATGTCACCCCAAAATATGCTGCTCCAGCATATTGACTATTTTGTGTTTAACATACTCGAGTAACAGCAGGTGCAATAAAATCACTCTGACTTTCCTTCTGCTTCTTAAAAGCATATAAAATTCCTGTTTGAAAGTTCTCCCTATACCAAAAGAAAAGTATCATTCTTATTATCAAGGATGGGAAGTTGAGGCCAAGAGAAGTCTGTACAAGTAAACCATGTTAGTCTAACCCTTACCCTCCTAACCACTTCTCCACCCAAATAACTACCCTATCTCAAGTGCCTGTGCCTTGTCACATTTTCACAATATACTACTCTTTGTCTAATTTGGTATATGAGTGTTCAAACTCGAACTTCCTCTTTGAGTGTTTATTTCCTTATAAAGGCTCCCTTGCCACGTAAAACTTGCATTAAATAAATTTGTATGCTTTTCTCCTGTTGATGTTTGTCTTATGTCAATTCAATTTTCAGGCTCAGCCCGAGACTCTAACAGGGTAGAGATAAAATTTTTCCTTCTTGACATTTATATGGTGAAAAATTAATCCAATTTCATCATTTCTAAAATTATTACTTTTGAAAAAATATGATGATCCTGAATATTACTGATCTACTATTTGCTTTTACCACTGAAAATATTTTGGACATATTTTGATGTCAGTAGACATAGAGCTCTATGTCATTTTCTTAACACCTTCAAACTATTCTATTGTTTGTGCATATCTCAATTCATTTAATAAATTAATTATTGATGGAAGTTTTATTGTTTTTACAGGTTTTTAACTAAAACTACTACTATTTTAGCTAATATTTTATGCATTTTTATGTTGAATTTGGTGGGACAAATTCCTAGAACTGGAATTTTTGATACAAAAATGTGCTTATTTTAAACTTGAATAGTTTTTTACATTATTGCCCTCCAAAAAAGTACTTATTTACACTCTTGTACACAGGCATGCATTCATGGATAGCATATACAGAAAATAACTCTTGACAACATACACTAATCCCACTCAGCCCTATTAAAACTCATATGTATGAGATGAGATTGCAGATGATTTTAATTTTTGTAATTAAAAAATCTTGCCTACTCTTTTCAGATCTCTTCACCTCCTCACTCAGTATTTATGCATTCTATAAGGATTTGTTAACCATCCACTAGATGCAAAGCATAAAATGAGGGGCTTTGGGAAAGCACATGGCAATAACCGTTTTGGTCTTTTTCACCCAGGATAATCATTACAAAGCCATGTGTAGTACACAATCATGGTGCAGTATAAACACAAGTTTAGGAGTGCTGTATATATACGGGCATAACAAAGGTCCTTAGGTATTAAGGTGGAATATCTGTGAACCCTTCTCACTGGGAATTTTCTGATAGAATAGTAAAAATACTTGAATATGGCATCTATCACAAATGAAATCTTAGACAGTAAATTAAAAATGATATCTGAAGAAACTAAATTGCATAGATCCAAACAGCTATGACTAGAAATAGATATTAAGCACATGTTTATAAATACATACAAGTAAAAATGCCTGTATGCCATCTCTACTTTGTATATGTAGATAGTTAGCATATCCTTTCTTAAAAGCTGTATACTTCTTGAATCTAGATTCAAATCATATGGCAAGTGGGTTGTAAACCCCAGGTACACATGTCAGGGGCTGGGGCACCAGGCTACCCTGGCACACTGTTAGGCCAACTGCTGGACTGCTGCTTGGCATAGCTACAAACCTCTCCTGCTGGCAGCTCGCGTTCCAAGCTCCTGGCTGGGCCCTGCCAGTTGCCCTGCATCGATTTGGGCAGGCGAGCCGGCAGGAAGGCACAACTGGGTCTGGTTGAGCAATGAGGGCTGCTGTGACCACAGCTGGTGTCGGTGGCCTGGCACACAACCCACCCTTTCCCCTTCCTTCTCATTTGGCACTGTAACCAGAGTTTGCAGGTATCTAAAACATATTGTATACAGATTCTGTAAAGTTTGCTTATTCTGTTACCAACTTTTTTCAATTTAAAATTTAATTATTCCTGTACTCAAGGGAAAACAAAGTATTTCTATCATCCACTTTCTCCAAAGAAAATAGTACACATTCTCGTAGACACAATTTTAAGACACATCAAAGTGCTTCTAAATGTGGAAAAGAGAAACAAGTGCAGAATAAAGAGAAAATACTTATTATAAACAGCAGTAAACAATCTTATTATTTTAAAGAGACATTTCTGAGTAAGGGAAAGGGACCTTGAAGGCTGTGCTTATGGACACACACACACACACACACACACACACACACACACACACACACACACATTCTCTATTTTCTTTTTTACTTGTTGTGAATATTACTCCCAAAGCAAACAAGCCATTTTTAAATTCAGATGATAAACAGAAAAACCCTACTCTCCACAACATAAACAGATTCTGCTCCTTTGTTCCTTCAAGAGCTGAGTCTCACTCCAATTTTTCTCTTTCCTCTAAGCTTATCTAGAATCCCATTTAGGAAACCAATGACCTAGTTCTGCTCTAGTTCTAATGCAACACAGGAGCAAATCCCAAATATCTCTGCTGGTCTTGCTGGGATTTCAGAACCCCAAAGTCCTTATCCTCCTCCAGAGGTAATCCTGTGATCAGCTCTAACACCACATGCCAGCCCTTTTATCAGCTTTTTGGAGAAGTATCTTTACCTCCTGTCAAGCAGTGACCTAAAAAGTGTAATCCAGTTTACATTTTCAAGGTCATAGTAGGTACAATGCTATCTTTCCTGGGCTAAGAGAAAAGGAAACTTGCTTGCTCTAAATTTAAGATGTCTTGTTTTTTTCCATGTCTTGTCCCCCATCCTCTTGATCCCTCTTGATAGATTAAAAGCTCACAGGGTCTTGTGGTTTTTTTCTACATTATCTCAAAGTGTTATTTCTGTAACACTTTGCTTCTATATTATCAATGTGTTATCCTCAAGACAAATACCCCATTTCCTAAGTTTTTATATTGAATGATTAGCAAAGCAAAACTTTACAATTTCCCAAACTAACAATGACACCCTAAAGTAGGAATGTATTCATGTTCCCTAAATTGACATTATTCAATGATCAAAATAAAATGCATACATAAAATCCTGGCCAATTTGCATACCCCATTCTTTAAAAAAAGCTAACTATTTTTAACCTATGACTGTGCCATGAATTTGTTTTTAATAATGTCTCAGTTTTATATAACCATGTATTCAAGGTCTTTATCATTCAGGGTACATGCAGATTGTGCATTTAATCTTTAGCACGGTTGTAGAAGATATGATTCACAGAGGAGAGAATAGATAAAAATAAGCATGCAGCAGCATGGTGCCAAATCATCAGAACTCACCATCTTATCAACAAATGGAAGTCATTCTTTTTTATTTCTTGAGCAAAGCAGTTTCACATAAGATAAATAGCTTTCAGTCAGAATAGCCTAACATGCAATATGCATCTTTTTGACATGTATATTCTAATACTACTTTAGACCATAAGATTAAAATAAGAAAAATGTCAGGGTAGGGTGTTGACAAGAAACACTGGTTGAATCTGCATTTTTTCTATTTTTCATTTCTCAGAATTTGGCTCTATATGTGCATGTTTGGAAGTTACTAACTATCATTAAGTGATCAACTTCTAGTGACCTTGAAGTACCATTTTCTGAAGTTTTAGTATATAGGGGAATAATTTCTGGAACTTGTCCTTTCTTACATAAAATATTAAAAGTCATTTTATGTTTTGGAGATATTGTTTTGTTTTCAGAGATCAGGATGTACTGGGACATGTTTCTGATCCATTTAGGAGACTCAGTTGTAGATATGTGAGCTAGAGAAAGCCATTTAGCTACTTGGATTTTAGTTTTCACATCTTGCAGAGGCAGAATTTGAGTCAGGTGGTTTTAAAAATTATACCCAATTTTCGTATTATATCACCTATAAATCATTATTCTTTTGTTAACACAGAAAGTAGACAGGTGCTGAGGGAGGTGGAGTGAAAAAAATGAAGCGAACACAAGCCTTTGCCCTGGACCCATCTTCCCTCTGTGGCTCTTTACTGGGCAATCTTATCACGGAAAGCGCTGTTTGCTGAGGCTCCCGTCCCTTCTCTTCGCAAACCCTGTCGCCAGGCAGCCACAGTAGCCTCTCACCGTTCACTTGCTGAGGTGGAAAACTGAACTAAAGCCCTTGAGAAAATTTGGTGAACTAGCAGAAAACTTCAATTTTCAAATATTCATTGCTGTCATATTTACCAGTTTGCGCATGTGGAAGAGTTTCATAGCAGATTGCCTTTGATTAAAACTCTATCTCTGCTACTTATCTAGCTCTTCAACCTCTTTGAAATTCACCTCTGAATTTTTTCCTCATCGTAAATTGTGCAAAATATCTATATGTACACTACTGTGGAAGAAAAATAATTATTTATAAGTATTCAAAAAACACTCTTCTCCCTCCCTGTACTTCATGGTCAAATTATTTCGGAGCGTATTGGCAATGACACTGCATATTATCAACACAAGAAACTTGCAAAATCTGGTTATTTAACAGACTTTGCTTAGTGGGAGCTACGTATTGAAATGACAAGATGTGAAAGTAAGTGCCTCATTTACCTGAAATATATTGCTACATCACTTTACACTGATCAATTTTGTTTGAGCTTGTACTGTTGAGTAAATTGGCTATTTTTTTTGGTTTGCACTTTGTCTCTGTGACCCTCATCTCCCTATCTTTTCTATCTCCCAGCCCCCCAACTTCGAAGCGAACATATAAAAACCTAGACGTGATGATGAAATCCATCCTGCTGGTATTAAGTCATGCATGTGAAATCTCTGGAAAAGTATGAAAATCTATGCAAACACAAGACAGCAAATAAGAATAAAGCAAGGAACAGTTTCTAAAAGAGTAAATTAATTCCTACTAGATTAAAAAGCCAGTGTATGGTAAACATACAATGTCCCAATTTTGTGGGGCTTATGAGGGTATAGGATAACGCACAAAAGATAGTCAAGGGGCTGGGGTCCTAAATACAGCTTTTCTCTCACTCTTCATCAGGGCTGTTACCTGTAGTGTTAGAAAGCATAGCATAGATGTGCAAACACTGGGTTGGAATCCTAACCCTACAATTCACTGTGTGTGCGTTTAGGTAAGTCACTGTTGTCTCGATTTCTCATTGTAAAAATGAGGGCAGTGCTATCTAACTCACAGAGCTGTGGAGAGCACTCAAGAGGATAATAAACATGAAGACCTTGGCCCAAAGTTTTAGTCAGAGAACATGTTTTAAGAAAGCAGTTAATAATTATTAGCAGTTTTATTTTTGAAAGAGAAGGCTGGATTCAATGGTCTAAGTTCTCCTTCATCTTTAAAATTAGACTCCATCTCTCTCCTTTTTTTCTCTCATAAAATACTCCTTCCAGAGTAAAATACTCCTTAGCACATCCTGAGCTCAGGGTTTGGAGGCCTGACCAAATTTAGTGGGAAGGGTGGTCTGAATGAATTATAAAAATAAAAGCTATCCTATCTTTACAAACCCTGTTAGTGTATCCAGTATTCTGTGAATCTGCATGTATTATTCCATCTTTAGTTTATACTTACAAATACAGAGCACCATCTCAGATAATAAAAGTGAATGCTGAATATTTTTGCAAGCTATTATAGCATTCGGAAAGAATACTATAAACACGTACAAGATGTGACTATATGGTAATGAAATGAATTTTCCTGTGTGGCGCGAAGGCTCATTAGCTTAGAGCCATGCTCTGTGTTGTTCTACAGAAGCCATGTGTGACATTTCTCACTAATGGCTTATGCTGTTACTAAATATTCGTCTCTAACTCCCTCAGTCTTTGGGAATGCAGGCATCCACTTGTGAGTAAATTAATAGCTCTGCAGAATAGAAATGAGGTATCCAGAAAAAACTTCATTTCCTAGGAGTCCAATAAGGAAAAAAGTTCCTATTCCTAATTATGCATTTGACCAGAGTTGTTGTTTGCAAATTTATATGAAAATACTTATTTTATGGGAAAGAATGCTTTTCATGTTTCTCGGTAAATAAAACCGGGCCTTTGTTTTTAATGATTTTACTATTTACATGAAACTGCTTTTATCAGCTAGGGAGAGGAGTAGGAGTGCACACTTACTTTCTTCATCAAGGAGATTTTCAGCAGCTGATAGTAACCTCATTCTGTCTTCTGGGTTTTCAATGTTTAATTCAATGAGATGACTCTCTTTTATATCCTTTAAATCTTCTAGAGTCTCATAACCATTGAGCAAAAGTGTTGAGGTATATTCCTATGGGAGAGAAAATATATGTATAGTACAAACGAGTTAGATTCAAATCTTTTATTTTTAGTTCTCTTTAGATTTAAAGAAAATGTAGAAATGTACATGGAAACCAAAGGTGCCAATAGAACTTCTGCTTAACTTTACTTGTATTAGTTTCCCGCATATGAACTCTAGAGCACTTAAAAGATTATGTTATACAATTCTCACTTTCTAGAAGGGCAAATGTAAAGATAAAATAATTATCTTAAGCTATACAAATCCAAATCATGGATTAATTAAATAGCTGGATCATACATCCCATTTGGCACTTTTAACTTCTCTACTAGCTAAATTGACAGAGCTAGCATTTACGAGAAAGTCTATCAATAAAATGCCCCTAGCAGAGTAGTATACTATATAGTAATATCTCTGAGTTTACATATCTTCTTGTTTGCTTGGTTGCAAAAACATCCACTCTTATCAACTCTTAGTATGGGTTAAAAATGAGTTTGAAACAGACATTATTCTATAAAATATGGGTTTAGCATTTTGGTTAAAAAGCATTATATACACCTAAGGAATTCTGGAATTTCTATTTAATTAAAATAATTTATTAAGCATAAAAGCACTGTAGTTGGGGACAATATTGTTTCTTTTCTCAGCATATATATTTTGTCCATCATTTGCATCAAAATATATTAGTTTAAAATTCATAGACATTTGGTTTCAAAGTCCGTATGTTATTTGTGTAACCTCTGTCTTCTCTAACAGAATAAAAATGCAAAGTAAAATTGAGGGCTTTTCAACTTCCTCAAAAATTCCTCCCATTTTACTTAATCATGATTTCAATATCCTTATTTTACTTACTAAAATAAGAGGAAGTCTAAAAGTTTGAAATAATCAGGCAGAACTTATTACCAGCTTTTTTTTTTTAACAATAATGACAAAAAAAGGAAAGCAAGAGCTATGACAATTCATTTTTAAAAAGTGTATTTTAATTGAATATCAAATTAGAATAGAGAACAGAAAAATTCCCATTCTGACGCAACCATCTAACTAACTGTGGGTTCTTGGACAAGTCATCTCGCTACCTTAGAACTTGGTTTTCTCATCGGTCACACAACAAATGAACAGCAGAGGCAAGCAAGCTTCCAACCTGTATTTTCTGCAAGGAGCATCCCATTTGGGATGCACCAATAGTAATACAGGAAGGCATAGCTAGTGTGTCTACACACAGAAACATAGCTAGATAATTCAAAAACACAATAGAGAAAGTTTAATTGGCTATTACCTTGATGAATTTTGAAAACTACCAAAGTACTGCTGAGTTAATTTTAGAAATGGATTGCAAAACTGTAAATTGATCGAGAGTAGGTATATTGTATGTACACACCATTTAACAAGGTGGATATTTCATGAAAGTCTTGCTAATATTACAAGAAAATATTTGGATTATATACATAGAACAACACACTTTCCTTTACACAATCATTGTGGGACTTAATGACGTCACTGTTTCCTAACAGACTATTCTTAAAACCATTATATTTACTGATCTCCTCTCAACTTGATTTTGATCTCTGCTCTATAGAATATACAATTTTCCTTTTCATTTTTCCTTTCACATCTCTGGACTTTTACTTTACTCTTCATGCTCTCTTTATCATTCTCATTTAGATATTTTCTCTGGGCCTTTTATTCTCCTAGGTATTTTTCATTTTTCGCTGTACTTTCTCAAAATTAATCTCTACTGTCACTGTTAAGTGCTATCAGGGTTTGGTCCGGGGGATGTTATATCAAGACCTGTCCTTGTATAATAAAAGTAATAAAGGAGAAATAAGAACTGTTCTAGGAAAACAGATTTTCTTTGCTGTAAGTCTTGTATTTTTAAACAACACTGTACAAATGCTGGTCCACTCTCCATGATTATTCCATTCATATACCCACCAAAACCAAGTTGGCCATGTTTGCTAACCTGAAGGTGAATCTTCTCTAAGAACTCCTGCAGACTTTTAGGTTTTTCCCTTTTACTTCTTTGGTGCACCTTTATTTTTCTGGGGGCTGCTTCCTCTTCTGAGATGACATCCACATAAATAAATTTGAAGTTTCCCACTTTATTGTTCAACATTCCTGTCCACATCCCCATTGGTGTTTTGCAGATAATATCTATGATGTCTCCTTTCTAAGGGCAAAGACACATAGACAAATCAGATTTCAAAGAATGATGATTTTATGAAAATTGATAGAAACAATGAAATTAAACAAAACTAGAATAATGAGAACATTATGTTATAGGGGTTCAGAGATAACAGAAATAAATCTAAAAGTTCACGTCTTTCAAAAGGTTAAGGAAATTAGTTACTAGTAATAATGAAGAAAATTTCAACATGCTTGACAAAAAGCTTTTACATACATTTGATGATACTTTTATGTTTTTGTTATCATATCAACTTATATTTGTAGAGCACGGTATAATTTAAAAAACACTTTTGCATACACTAAATCATTTTATGCTTACAGCACACCTCTTAGGCGCATATAATAGGTATCATACTTTTTTAAGTATTACAGAAAAATAAGGAGATATATTAAATGACTTCTCAAGAGCCTACAGGAAGTTAATGGCAGAACCAGAACTAAAGTTCAAGTTGTCTGAACTAAAAAATGATGCTCTTTTCATTTATAGTGTCAAAGCAATATATATGTTGCAAAGCTAAAGCTGTCATTCCCGAGGGAGCTCCCTAACTAGGGAAGGAGAAGAAGGAGAAGTCTATGACTCTGCCTGTGCTTCTAGTTCTTCTGAAATATTATATTTATCTACAGTGTAAAATAAACCCCTCTAAGGTATTGCATCCATCTAAAATAATTAAATTGTGCAGAGCTCACATAAGAGTATGTGTGCACTATGGATAAATTATGCTGCATAATTCTTATTACAGTACTAATTCATCTCCTCTAATATTTAGATCAAGTTCCACAACAAAATTTGGATTGAAGAGTGAAGGAAGCCCTTTGGGATGGACAAACTAATTGGTCTTTTTCTTTATTCATGTCCAAGACCATAACGGGCTACTGGCTGTACTGCCAGTTATTGGCAAGAGTACAAAACCCCACGGGGGTATTTCTTTGTAAAGAAAATTGATTTCTATGCAAGTGCAGTGTCTACCTTTAAGAGTCATAGTTACTCCTTTGAGACTTAGGACTATCGACCCTGGGAGTCCAATATTTTTTGCCACTTTTAAGAGTTTACCTTCAAACAAACTAAGCACTAAATCTTCTACTAAAAGTATTTTTCTTTTTTTTCTGTGAATATGTGTTCTTCCATCTAAACACAAATTTTTCTTATAATGGCAGAATTCAGTGTGATTGAAAGATCTGGTTTTTCTGACTTGTGATCAACTGTCTGTGTGGGCCTGTGAGCTAGTACGTCCTGGTGGGGAACCTGTGGCTTTGGGGCCACATGTAGTATTCTGGATCCTTGCGTGCAGCCTTTTGACTGAATCTAAATTTTACAGAAAAAAATATTTTTAATAAAGGTTATGGATTTGACCGCAGATTCCCCATCCCTGCAGGGGAATCAAATCTCAGGCTGGATAGCATCAGCTAAGCAGACTGAGGAACTCTTGAAAGTTTCTAGGTGTGGCAGTCCTTTATGCATCCTTCTTATTATCCTTTAAACTTGTAAACTTTTGGGTTAATGAACCTCTTTAATCAATAAATTTAATCTGAAACATAACAAGTAGATGTTTTATTCTATGTCCATAAATCAAGTTTACCATTATCAATGTATCTTAAGTCAGTAAAATCTAAAGTCTAGAAATCTCAGATTTTTCTAGCACTTTTTTTGTGTTGATCTCTGTATGTCTAGCACCTAACATAATGCCTGATATCTGGTACACAAAAAGATGCTTTAAAAACAAATACCACATGTACTCACCATTTAATTGGAACTAATCAACACCTATGTGTACGTATGGAAATAACATTCACTGGAAATCAACCAGGTGGGTGAGGGAAGGAAGAACTGGGTAAAATCACACCTAATGGGTACAATGCACACTATCTGAGGGATGGGCATGGTACAAAAGCAATTTATGTAACCAAATCATTTGTACCCCTGTAATATTCTGAAATTTAAAAAAAAAATGCTACCCAGAAGTTTTAATTGGCTATTAAACATTATCAAAGCTGACATAATTTTATTAATTCTTCAAAAGCTTTTTAAATTCATAAACATGTAACTTCCTTTAAATTTATAAACCTACACATTCAAGAGAACCCACTGGTAATCAAGCAAAGACTTAATTTCATTTTGGTTAAGACCTTTGATGGGAACAAGGGTATTTCAATCTTCAGTGGTAACTGGAGGATTATTATTGTGTCCTATAAGAACTCCATAAAAATCACCTTGGGCAGTGCTGGCAGTGGCACACTGGCATTGTATTGTAGGGAAGTTGGAAAACTATCCTGAGTCAAAACGTGTTGTGTTTATTTCCTTCTATTTCCCTCCCTGCAAAATGGTTATTAGGGTACAGCCATCCTTTCCATAAGACTTGAACTTAGGCTGCAAATCATTGCATGTAAGGAGCTGATTGTGGGGAACAATGCTTTTATCATTCTCCAGCTGAGCTTACTCTGATTCAATAGCATAGAGGGGATAGAGGGAAAAGATACTTCATAACATATCATAGTTATTAGTTGACATTCACTTGGTGTTAACAGCATAGAAAATTCATAATTTGTATCCCTTTAGCTTTAGCACTTTGCAATACTATAAGGAATAATTTAACATCTATAAAGTATCTTAGCACAGTCTTCTTCTATTTGTGCTATCATAACCAATCCCACCCCTTGAGTGTGAGGAAGACTATGAAAATGATGGATTTTACATTCATGATTATGTTACCTTATATGATTTTACATGTATAAATAATGCACCAAATTAGTTGATTTTGAGTTAATCAAAAGGGAGATTATCTGGGTGGTCCTGACTTAATCAGATGGGATCCCTTAAAAAGAAAGATGTTAAAGCTTGGGTGGGTTTTCTCCTGCTGGCCATGTTGTAGGGAGGGCCCTGGCTGGGGAACCTAAGGGCTGAGAATGGCCCCCATTTGATATCCAGCAAGAAAGCAGGGCCCTCAGTCCTACATTCGGGAGTAACTGAATCCTTCCAATAGAAAATGAGCCCAGAAGAGGACCTCAGACCTCAGGTGAGATTGCAACCAGGCTGACACCTTGATTTCAGCCAGGAAAGACCTTAAGCAGAGAATTCAGTTGAGCCATGCCCATACTTGTGACCTACAGAAACTGTGTGATAACAATAATTTGTGTTGTTTGATGTTTCTAAGTTTGGAGTAATTTATTACATAGCAATAGAAAGTGAAAACAGAGAATAAAAGTAAGAAGAGGGGATTCAGGAGAAAATGCCATTGGGAGAAAAGATCTCTGGTTACTCACAGCAACCAGTTTAAAAAGCACTAGAGTTGCCTGGCAAAGTCTGGTTCCCAAGGCCTTTGCTGTGCTGGGCTCTTGCCTGATATTTCTACTTCTCTCCCTCTCCTTGACTTCATTATTTTTACTCCTGTAAGTATCAGGCAGAGCTGGGCACCTCCAGCAACCTGTGAGAATTTCAGTTTTCAGAAAAACATAGATAACTCCTTCCCTCCTGATAGACTCTGAGCCTATATTATCTGCTTAATAGCAATGTATGTGAATACCCTGAATAGACTGATTTCCCCTTATTACCTCACAAGTTTTATTCAAGTTCTTGGCACAGTTAACTTGCCCCCAGTTCTACTGTTGGGAAGAACACACTCACACAACTACTTTCCACTGCTTCTACTTCCTGAAACATATCATACAAGCAGCATTTGACAAACCATTCATAAGGTGGATATGATGTCTTCTCACCTTGATTTTGAGGGAGTCAGTGTCATAGGGACTTGGCGTGAAATCAGTATGTACTCTGGCACGGCCACAGAATGGTCCTGAGTAGGGGCCATCGTCATCCAGTCGAAAGCTGTCCCTGTTGCTTGTACCATCTGAGCAGCTTGTTATTCCACCTGAGGAGAGCAGAGGTTCACTTCTCATTGAAGGCATGTAACATTCTGAACCAGTATCTGGACACAACTAAGTGTTGATGATGCCACCCCACTGGGTGCTAGTCTCACGATGGGGTTCTAACTGACTGATCCCAGTGTCTGTCTCCCCGTCACTCCCCAGGTTCACTACTACTCTGTCCTCTGAGCCATTTCTGACATTTTTCCTGCCAAACTGGCCAATCTCTCCTCAACCGCTAATCCAAACACCCGCTCACTTGGTCTGTGTGATCTGATCCAGCACCCACTGTATTAATTATTGGACGCTTGCAAAAAAGGAGGAAGGTGTAGGTTTAACTTGTGAAGTCAAATAATTATTTTGTTCATGTAAACAAAGACACAAACTAATGGAAACAATTTTATCTTTGTGTGCTATTGATCACGAATGGTTAAAACATGCAAGGTTCCCTATAACTTATCACAACTGTAGCAAAAATTCTAGCCCAGAGTTGCTCCTGTGTACCCAAGGCCATTTGGAGGCAACTTACTGTGCATAAAAGGTCGCACTTCTGTCTACTGTGTGAGTGAAAGGGAAGGAGGAAGTGTGTTTGAATGTCTACCCTCAGGTGGCTCAAAACTGTTCTAAACCAGACTTTTAAAACTGCTCCAAATCCTTGTTTTCTGGTCCCCTTCCTTTCTGATCTTGAACCTCAGGGAAAAAAGAGAAAGAGATACCATTTTGCTATCTGCCTGGGGGCAAGAATGGTTCCCAGTGGAAGTAACTCTCTTTTTCCAAACCCCATCTCCAGTCATCATTTCCTTCCTCCTTCAGTCTGGCCTTCCAGCACTTGGTTCAATGAGAGAACAGCCCAGGTTCACTACCATCCACTGTGATATAAGGTAAAGACCCTTCGAGATATTCCCATGTTATATATGAACTGGCATAAGAGAAAGGTGAGTTGCATCTAATTACAGAAATTGAGTTCTACATGATTTCAGTTAAATGGGGCCACCATCTTCTTATACCTTCCTTTCAGTGAATACTCCAGGCCCTGCTTTTCATGGTACTTTTTTTTTGAGACAGGGTCTCACTCTGTAGCCTAGGCTAGAGAGCAGTGGCACCATCATGGCACCACAGAGCCACCCAGGTGGCTCAAGCAATTCTCTTGCCTCAGCCTACTGAGTACCTGGGACTACAGGTGTGTGCCAACACACTTGGCTAATGTTTCTGATTTTTGTAGAGATGGGGTCTTGCTCTTGCTCAGGTTGGTCTTGATATCCTGGCCTCAAGTAATCCTCCTGCCTTGGTCTCCTAATGCTAGGATTACAGGTATGAGCCACCACACCTGGCCAGTACATTCTAATTAATAGAATTCACTTTTCAGAGTACTTCAGGAAAAAAAGGAAAGGAAAGGAAGAAAAAAGTATGGGAAGTGGGGGAGGGAGGGAGAGAGAGAGAAAGAAAAAAAGAGAGATAGGAGGGAGGAAAGGAGAGAGGAACAGAGATAGAGAACAGGATTTTATTTATCTTACTCAAGTCATTTTAAACATTATGACTCAAGGTAAAAGTAGTTCTCCCAAGCATAGATTTTTTTTTAGGGATGCATATTTAATTACCCAACATGATGTTTCTGAGGAACATCCCCAAGAACCCTGTTGACTACAGCATTAAAAGTTTTAAAACAACACATAATTTTATCTAATATATTACACATCATTTTAAACAAGAGCAACTCCGTATAGATTCAATACATATTACGTGTTCACCATTTCTTTTATGGAGTAGTTGGAACCTTGTTGCTAATTTGATAAAAATTTGTTGTGTTTAGTTAATTTAACACAGGCTTCACACCTAGGACCTTGTTCTTTATTTATTAGCCTTACTTGAAGAGCTCTGCCCACTGTAGAGACTATCCATGGACTCGCTGGCTTTAAGGGAGAACTTCTCAGTGTGGGTCCCCATCACAGGGTCACTGTTTCGATATGGGAGGACACCCTCTCCATCTTCCTCATCCTTCAGAAAAACATATCAGAGGTTAAGTGCAGAGAACAGATTTCCATGGAGATGTTCAATATGCATATTGATTTAATAAACAAGACATATTTTAGCAATAAAATACTTAGGAATACATCAGCATAAAATATGAGAGTCATTAATTTGTAGTGCAATTTCTAGCAAAACACTTTACAGTATTCTTGGAAAAATTCTTTAAATGAGACATACCTCATTGTGGAGATCATCTGAGATCATAATGATTCATTTTTACAAATTAGGCTGAATATCATACCAAAATTATTTAATCAGAAATGTTAGATTTATTGACATCTATGTTTTATGTGTTGAAGCACTTTTACTTCATGTTCTCCTTATCTATTTACCACCATTACTAATCCATTGAGGTCTGATACTACAAGTTTAAACTCTGCATAGTTGTTTCATGTCAGTTATTTGCACCCTACCAGATCACTAGATATGAATAAAACATGCATATTTTGCAATTCTAAAGCAAAGCTTATCTAAGAAGCTTTACAAATCTCATACTGTGCTTGCCACCTAGTCAAGTGAAAAGCAAATCTTGCATAAAATTAGAAAAGACAGACAATTTCAAAACAAATTGTATTTCCTTGAAAACATCTCAAATGTTTTCCATATTTAGATAGTTTGGACAAAACCTATGAATCTTAATAGTTATCAGAAAATAATTTAATATTTCTCATTTTTCAGTATTTCTAAACATTGATGAAACTTCAGAATACACATATGATATCCATCAATATGATTCTCTATTTTTATCCATCCCCTTCTTCCTTCCTTCAGTCATTCAATATAGTTTATAGAATACCTCTTAGGTACTGGGCACAGTTCTAGAAATTGGAGATTATCCGAGTAAACATGATAGCAGTGTCCTAATTCTAATGAAGAACATTTTAGTATGTTAGTCTACATCTGTGTGTGTGTGTGTGTGTGTGTGTGTGTGTGTAGTCTGTGTGTGGAGTGTTTAGGGAGATGTGCATAAACAAAATAAGACAATTTCAGAGAATAAGAAGTGCTATGAAGGAAATAAAACTGGTAATGTGAGAAAATTAGCTACTGAGGTTAGGGTTAGGGTAAGATTGGCTGATTTAGATAAAGTAGCCTGAAAGACCTCATCCATAAGTCAATGTATGCTCTCAATTATTAACCTGAATGGTAAGAAAATACTACAGATGTGAAGCTTTAGAGACAGCTTTTAACTGAAAATTAGCTTGGATTGTGCAGAGAAAAACAAATGCCAATGTAGTGAGAAAAAGAAGAATATTGCTACATAACTGCAGAGAAGTAGACTGGAGCCAGATCACAAAGAGCTTTAAAGGTCATGCATGGTGGCCATGGAAATATGCCACTTAGATCTCTTGCTATGGGACCCTTCTTTACTGACAGCCACAACATTGCCTTTCTGTATCTACCACTGCCTTTGTGCTGAAGCCTTGTTTCCTGCCAGTGATGAAAATGTGAGGGTATTATTTGAGCCCATTCTGGTGGGATGTGGAGCTCCTCCAGTGAAAAACTTTGGTAAAAGAATTCGTTATCAATCTGGCCAAAGCGTTCTCAGAATTTTGCTGAAGTCTGAGACGCTGTCTACCCTGATCCTCCTTCCTTCTCCCTCTCCTTTTACAAATTTCATATTTGCATTGCAATCTAAAGGCTTTCCCTGGCCATTTCTTCTTTTTCTTCTTTATCTTTGGTGCTTCTATTCCCTTCTTGGGGTCTGCTTTTCAGGAGAAGGAATGAAAACACCATAGTAAGGGAGTACATTGTGAAGGCACTTTGAAATTTTAACCAGGGGAGTTATATGTCCTGATTTCCACTTTTTAGAGTTCTCTCTGGATTTCATGTGGATAATGGATTTTATGGGGAAAAGAGTAAAATAGTGGAAACCAATTAGGTGGTCACTGTGATGATCTAGGCAAGAGAGTTTGGTTACTTAGTCTAAGGCAGTAACAGTTTACATGGACAAATTAGGGGTTTTAGATATACTTTGGAGTTAGAACCACCAGGATATACTCATGAATTACTGAAAAAAAATGATGGAAAGAAGGAATTTAGAATGATTCTTAGGTTTCCTTTCCTCTTCCTCCTCCCTCTTCTTTTTAGCATGTAGAGTTATAACAATGTTGTCTGTTGCCATTGAGAATACTGGATGAGAAACCATTTTTTTTTAGTAGAAGTGAAGGGAATCAATATTTCGGCTTTAGATATATTAGATTTCAGCTATTTAGTGAGCATCTAAATGATGGTATAAAATAAACAACTGGTTGTATAAATAGAATAGATAAGTGAAGAGATCACAGCTAGAGATATAATTGTGAAAAACAAAGTCATAAGACTGGATAAGATCATTTTGGAAGAGAGGGTGGATTGAGTAAACCATCCAGGAACAAGCCTCAGGAAGACTTAATATTTAGGTGGACAGAAAAGAATACAGAGCCAAGAAAGGAAGCTGTTAGGAAGAAGACAAGTCAAATGAATGTCCAGCCAAAGAAACCAAGAAAAGAGAATGTTTTACATGGAAGTAAATCACTTATGTCAAATACAGCTGAAAAGCAGTAAGAAGAAAGAAATTTGACCATTGGATTTGACAACACAGAAGTCACTACTGATGGTGACAACTGTTTTAATGGAGTACTAGGAACAGAAGCCCTGTTGAAGTGCGTTAACAAAGAGAATAGACATAAAACATATAAATCAATAGAGTAGAATTAAGAGGTCCATAAATAAACCCATATTTTTATGATTCATGTGTTTATGACCACATAATTATGGTCAATTGATTTTCAACAAATGTACCAAGACAATACAATGGCTAAAGAATAGTCTTTTAAAGAAATGATGTTGGGACAACTGGATATCCACATGCAAAAAAATGAAGTTGTACTCTTCCCAGATATTGTATAGAAAAATTATCTCAAAATGGATCATACAACAGAATTTAAGGGCTGAAACCATAAAACACTTAGAAGAAAACATAAGAATAAATCTTTATGAGTTTATCTCATAAGCATTTGTGCCACAAAAAATACCATCAAGAAAGTAAAAATACAGTCCAGAGAATCAAGAAAATATATCATGTTGCCTGTCATATATCTGATAAAGGACATATCAGGAAGATACACAAAACATTTAAAACTTAATGAAAATAGACAAAGCATTTGAATAAACATTTCTGCGAAAAGATATACAAATGTCTAGTAAGCACATGAAAAAAATTTTCAACATCAGTCACCAGTGAAATGTAAATCAAAAGCAAAGGTAAATCAAAATCACAAATTCCACTTTATGACACTAGGATGGCTAGCGTTAAAAAGACAGAAAGTGTTGATAAGGATATGAATAAATTGGAACCCTCATACATTGCTAGTAGCAATGTAAAATGCTGTTGCTGCTTAGGGAAACAGTTTGCTATCCTCTCAAAATATTAGAGATATATTATCATATATTCAAGACAGATGAAAAAATATTTTCACACAATTAATTAAACACAAATATTTGTAGCTAAAAAGTAGAAACAATCCAGATGTCCATGAACTGATGAATGGATAAATTAAATGTGGTTAATCTATAAAATGAAATACTATTTAGCAATAAAAAGGTATAGAGTACTGATGCTTGCTACAATATTATTGATATGTTGTTTTGCACATACTAGATGCATGATCTTTCTGAGTCTCAGTTTCTTCTATTAAGATGGAAGTAATAATACATTTTTTCATTCCAACTTCTGGGCATAATGACTGAGGTAGAAAATAAATGCTTAAATATTTCATAAAGCACCGACTACTTCCGTATCTAGAAGAACTTATTGAATATTTCAAGAAAGATTTAATAGAAAAATACAAATTATTAACAGAGTACACTTACTTTTTCCTCAGAAAGCGCTTTGATGTATTTTTTACCCACTTTCTTCTTCATTGTCCATGAAATAGCTCTCACTTTTTTACCCAAACCTCCTCCATTGCTTGAAGTTTTATTTTGTTCTCCACTTTCATTTATGGGTTCTCCATTATGTTTCTAGTTTTGAATCATTTACAAAAGACAAAATAAGCAAGAAATAAAAAGCATTGCTCAGAAAACACCGTTAGAAAGAAGAATCTAAGTTTGTAGACTTCCTATACATTCTGTACAGCAGCCTCCAAAATTTCAAACAAACTGGGCATAATACGAATCTTTAAAGTTATCTAGGCCTGGTTGCTTGTGTGACACACAAACTCAGAAAGTAAGTTTGATGAAGGCCTTGAGCTTCTCATCTGAAATTATTTTCAAGAATTTTGGCTTTTGTTTAATAGCCGTATTGAAGAACCATTTTACCCCTCCTTGTTTTTGAGATGAACAAATAGAATTCAATACCAAACGTGGGACGTGATTGTGTCTGCATGGATGGGAGATATTTTATTAGAGACTTTAGAAAGGCTATCGTGTCTATGCTGAATGGGCCTTCAAATATCCTGTTGCTCCTCATAAAAAGTAAGAGGGTCATGGTTATTTTTAAAAATTTGGGGTGTTAATTAAATCCACTGAGAAACTGCATTTTCTTTCATCTTGGCATGTGCATTTCCCACATTCTCAAGCAATAGTAAATATGAACTATTCGCAGACATGAATACAGAAATCTTCATGTAATTCACATGCTGTAATTAAGCAAATCTCTTATATGAACTGCTTCTGACTGTACTTAGGAATTTTGTTAAAACCACAGACTTCCTAACTCAGAATAAAACATAAAGTGTTCATAGCCCACAAATCTCTATGACATAACATAAAATAATGTGATATAATTAATATAACATATATTGTAATGTGGTATTTGTTGCATTATATGGAATCTATATGAAATGAAATAGCTTCACCACCTCCCCCTGAGCTACTTCTCAGCTCTCCCTTGCTCATCAGAGCAGTGGTTCTCAAAATGTGGTCCCTGGACCATTAGCATCAACATCAGCTGGGGACAATTTGTGTTTTTAACAAGCTCTTCAAGTGATTTTGATACACACTTGTTTGCAAACAACTGTAATACAAGATTGTTGCGCTAGCCTCCTGGATGTTCATCTGTCAGGTTTTCACCAAGGTTTGTATTTGCTTTTGCCATTGGCTTGCCCTAGATATCCACAAATGTCTTCCTTCAGTCATCCAGGTTTCTAGTCACATGTCACATAAAAGGGGAGAAATTTTCTGACTGATCACCCTCTTCACTGTCCATACTTCCTGTTTGTTTAGTCTGATTTATTCTTCTAAGTACTTAACGTTACTTAACAATGTGTTTTTTCATTTCATTGGCATGGACATCTCCCACTATGATGCATGCTCCATGAGAAAGGAGACGTCATCTGTCTTCTTTATTCTGAGTGTCTAGAATACTTCCAAACACATAACTGGCACTTGATATTTTTTGAATAAATAAAACTTCCCATTTAGAACTTTGCAGCAATTTTTCTTTGGAGGACATGTTTGGGTTGCACATCCTTAACACCTCACATTTGCAAGAAAGGAACCTTGAAGGTCATCTAGTTTAGCACTGCCCATTGTTCCTGATAGGTGGACAGCCAGCCATTCCCTAAGTATAAAAAATAACGGGAAACTTCTCTTTAGTGAACTTTAATATTTTAATATGAAAGTTTAACCACATAGTTAACATCATTATTAATCAATATTATGTTTTGCTTCATATCTTACCCCAAATTGGCTATGATAAATATGAATGGACAGCCAATTTAAACCCTCATTGCACTTTATTAATTTCTACATTCAAGGTTATAAAGGCAAAGATTCTTTGCTTAATTCAAAAGCCCTGAGTAAAATATAATTTGGAAGCACCTCAAATTTTAGAGTTAGCCTTTTTTCTTCTCTCTTCTCTCTACTTAAACTTTCCCTAACTTTATTATAAAATTATTTTACTAACTAAAATATATTTAAAAATTATATTATTTTACTATTACTGGTGTTAATTTACCATTATCTTAGCTCCAGAAAAAGTACCACAAATATTTTTCAGGTTTTTCTCTCATTATTTACAGAAGCTTCAAAGAAATTATCTCCATATTCCTTGAATTTAACATTTTTCTATGCTGTACTAGGGCACTATTATTAATCAATGAACGTAAATGAGTCTCAGCTATCAGACTAAGTTAACTGTAGAATTGTAAACTAAATAACAGTATAATATAGCTATGTATGATTATGGAGAGTTAAAGGTTTATACAAGATGCCAATCGAAAGTAAAATTATGTCTTTCACTCTCTTTCTCTCTGTCTGCTTATATATATACATATGTATATGTATATATATTAAATCATATTACTTATAATCATATAAATGTTGATTGACCATATAGCCATATAGAAGTTTATCCATAATCATGTACATATAAATAAGTAGGTATATAAAAGGGATATATAATATATAAATGGATAAAAGGAGATATATTATACATCCACACATGCATATCTAAGCATCAATGGAGATATTTATAAAGTAATAATATATGTCATTTTATTTCCACTTTGTTCAGCATATATTACTGAAATAAAAATATTTAAAAATATTATATTAATAGATAGATGTATCTGAAGATAACTGTAAGATCTAAAACCTATTGACCTTAAAAGAATATATCACCTGTGAGGTCACTGAATCAGGTTCAATGATAAGCACGTATTTTCAATTTTCTCAGTATACATCTCATCTCTTTACTATATTATAAGTTGTTATATCTTTCATTAATCACTTATCACATATGGCCCTTGGTCTATAAGATAGTATGGCAAACTTTGGAGTGAGAGAAGAGGTTTAGTTCTGCCTTCATCATTTATTAACTCTAGTTTAGAAGTCATTTTGCTAAATGAAGCAAGCATATTTCTTCATTGGTATTTCTTCATAGAAATATTAATAGTTCCTATGGTATAGATAGGTAAAATGTTTACAGTTGTACTTATTTCATGGAAAGTGCTTAATTAAATGTTGATATTATTGGTCTTATTATTATGTAAAATAATTTATGGGAAGCTTTTCTTAAGCTGCATTTACAGTGTTCATAGTTTACAAATGTGTATATAGTGGTCACCAGTGGGGCATTTCAGCGTATGTGGTAGAAGTGTGAGAGTGCAGTTAAACAGCCCTATGCTCTCCTTAACAACTTTACAGTTAAGCCACTTGATCATTTCCTAATTTAAAGCAATTACAACTTACATAAGCTTTGAAATATATATATATATATATATATATATGAGAGAGAGAGAGAGATTTATGGTAGAAATGCTCAGGAAATTTGGAATTGCTGGTGTTACTTTGAATTCTAACTATCTTCTTAGATTCATGTTTTGCCTCAAAACATCTGTTAGGGTTCTTAGATAGCTATTTACTCTTAATGCCCAGCATGGTACTAGGTACTAAATAATAGTTTGTTCATTTATCACAAAAATATATGCAAGGCTAGGATCTGAAAATGTATTTATCTTACTGTACTTTGTAGAAGTGATATTGTCTTCATAATATTTCATAATATGCTTGCATAACATTCATAAAAATGGAATGAAATACTAACCTCAGTTAAATCATCTGGTTTTGATGTGGGATTATTACGAAAACGATCAAAATTCCCAAAACTGCTGCTGCGCTATTAAATAGGAGAGAAAAGAAAAGAAAACTTAGAATTTGTGACTTTCACTGCTAAAACTAATAAATAGATTATACTTTAATTAGCACCATTTCTTACAAATACAAACTTTAAAAAGCTCTTTCCTCTTGAGTGTCTAAAGGCTTTGAAGGTAAAACTATTAACATTTTTATATTTACAGTTGATAAAATGTCTTTATTTTATGTTACAGTATTAAGCACCTTGAAGAAAATCTTGGTTAAATTATTTTCAATTTATAGTATTAATTTTGCCCTTGGGCGAGGCAGTTGAAGAATCTATGATTTCTAAACTGAGGCTTCTTGAAATGAACTAACCAATGACTTATTTCTATGAGGTAATGGCATGTGGTACTAACCAACCAACCAACCAATACACAAATAACAACAAAACATGCAAACAAAAAGCAAGCATCTGAGTAGATCCACCGTTATACTTCATAAAGATCAAGTTTAAAACAAAAATGAACAAAAAGTGCATTTCCTATTACTAACTCTTGATAATTTGAAATTCTCTGCTGGACACAAGAAAGAAAAAGCACACACATAGACCTATTAATAAATTGGAAGAAGCATTTAGGCATGCATGATCTCAGGTTGGGAATAAAACTGAATTTTTACAAATTTAAAATGGAATTACAATGAGACCTTTGGGTCAGTTTCATTCACTGGTTTTGAGAATAAGCTCAATATGTTAATAGAAGACTGTCCCCTTGGATACTTTTTGCTTACAAAGCTAAATTTTTATTATGCAACTCATTCTAGGCAGGTAATTATAAATAATATACTACAAAGTAAATGATTCCCTTAAACACATCTTAAAATTCTTTAGAGTCATTGAGTCAAAAAATTGATATTTCCTTACTCTCTATTTAATTTTATGCATTGTTTGGGATGCTGAATATCTGATATTATGTTTTTTGTATATCCATAAATCTCAAGAATATGTCCTTTCTTAAGGACTTTATCTCATTTCTAGGTTATCATAGTTTAAAAATAAATACTGAAAAATAGCCTGGTAATTTGAAAAATTAATAATATAAGTCAGTAATCTATGAAATCATCTATAGCCAAGTCCTCACTTAATGTCATGGATAAGTTCTTAGAAATTGTGACTTTAAGTGAAACAGCTTTAATGACACTCGTTTTACCATGGGCTAATTGATACAAACAAGAAAATTTCTACGGCATATTTCTGCACATAAAACATACCTGAACTTCTAAATAAAGACTAAAAATACTTCTAATATTAAACATTGAAATAAATGTGAGGTATACATACATTTTTAAAAGATTAATTAAAACAGATAAGAAAATTATTTACCTAATTATTCTCCCTCAAGGTTGCAGGAGGCCAGAGCCTATCCTGGCAGGTCAGGGGCAAGGCAGGAACCAGCCTTGGACAGGATGCCATCCCATTGCAGGATGCACTCCACACACACACACACACACACACACACACACACACACACTTTCTCTTTCTCTCTCTCTCTCACTCACACTGGGATTACATAGAAAGACCAATGCACCGAATGGGCACCTCTTTGGGATGTGGAAGGAAAGCCACTCAGACATGGGGAGAACATGCTAACTCCACACAGTGGCCATGGCCAGGAACTGATTTCTTTTTCTCATTGATGTTATAAGGAAACGACTTTGAATCGAGGACCTGCTATATTGTCCTTTCAGAAATGACAGCCCATTTTTGTTCAAGTCAGCTTCAAAGGCTCCGAGTCCTCAGAAGCACTTTTATACTCATGTTTCCCCACCAGCTATCTTTAAAAATGCTTGTTTCCCTTTTAAATGAGCTGATATAAAAAGATCCTGACATGTGACAAGGGGTTAGCCTGATAGTGTGATGGAGAATATTGCCCCAAGGATAATGGCTGTGTTAGACACAATTAACGCCTTTGCTGACTTGCCACCCCTGCTGAACAAGCCCTTCAGGTTATAGTGAGAGGAGAGGAAAAGAAGGGCTAAAATTGAGAATCACGCTGGAAAATACAAAGTCTTTTCATGCAGTACTTGCTAACCAAGAGTGACTTCCCAGAGCATTAATCACTCCAACTTGCCTAGTAGGCGTTTCCATCTGGCCATCATTGCTGAGCAATCACAGAGGGGAATTGAAGGTATTGTTGTCCTGCTTATAAACAATCTGAACACAGGGAAATCTATTACTCTTTTATATACTTAAAACATTCTATGAACTTTTGAAGCCCATGCCAAGGGCAATTTTGTAGCCTACATCCAGCCTGCCTCCTGCCTGTTAAATATTAATGAGAGTTACTGAGTGATTTCCACTACTGGATAATGGGTCCTGTTACACAGGAGGGCACAAAATAGACTCACTTCAGCATTTCTCTACACTATCTTCTTCCATTAAGTGATCAATAGTTACCACCTTTTAAAATTAATTCTCCCCTCATTATATCAATAAAGAAAAGCAGATTTAGGAATAGTGGTTTATGAAGGATACAGAACTATTACTTTGGGTTTTGTCAATCATCTTACTGCTAATCACTCAACAGTTTTAAGCCAGAGGAGTATATCAATCCATGCTAAGATGCCCTTAACTAGCAAATCTATGTATTTGAAAGAATATTTTAAAAATTTCATTATTCCCTAGTCTAAAAGTTAGTGACTTTGTGAGATGGGTTCATGATGTATAGGTTATGGCTTATGATGAGAAGGGGCTAATATCTACTATGAGGTGTAGACAATGAACAAATTTACAACTTCTGCTCCTGTCAAGTTTTCTAATGATAAGGTGAATCATGTGGAAGCAAAGCCTACTTCCTAGATTATAGTCCTTAATAAATGAGAATGTGTTTGAATATTGATAACTTTGCATTAAATAATTATAGTGAATTAGATTTAATAAAACTTATCTTGTGATAGAAGCTTCCATCAAGACAGAGCAATTATATAAACATAATAACTATCAACAGCAATAGTAGCTTAAATAAAAATGCAATTCACATTTTAGATAATTCTTTGTTTCTATTGACATTAGATCATATTTAGCCTTTAATCATATTTTGTATTAATATAAATGTATGCAGTCTTTCCTTATGCAATTAGAAGTGCACTTTTAAAATGTCATACTACCTATGGAGGCAAATTTGACAATATCTACCAAAATTACATATATAATTACATATATATTTACCTTTTGTCTCAGAAATTAAATTTCTATGTGTCTATACCAGCGATACATTTGGATAAGAGTTGATTTACACATCCACGTTTATTGTAGCACTTTTATATTACCAAAAAGCTGTAAAGACTATTTATTAAAAGCATACTGACTAAACAATAATATGGTAAATCCACACAGTGGAAATGTATATAGATGTAAAAATTGAAATATATCTTTGCATAATGCAATGGAATTATCTCTAGGATATAGTGTAAGCAAAAAAAGCAAAATGGAGAAAAGTGCAATACGTTGAAATACGTATAATGTCAAAATTCATGTGTTTATAAAGATACTAAAAGAAAATTTTGGTGGTTACCTTGGGAAATGTTACAGTTATATTATGAAAACTGGCAAATAAAGGAAAAGCTTAAAGCATTCAATCTGCCTTTCCTGTATAAAGTGTATTTCAGAATAGCTAAATAGTTTATGAGAGAAAATTATTCTCTATTTGTGTGTATTCTAGCTAATCAATTAAAATGATGAAATTATAAAATTACCACTTTGCAAACACCTAATGCAATATTGGATGTAGGCAATGGTTATCAATGGCCACTAAAATCACAAAAAAAGGAAGACAACCAGAATATGTGATTCATGATGAATGCACATAATAACCACTAACGATATATTCTTGAAAAAAAAAAGGAATAAGAAAGCAATCACATCAAGATCTGTATCTAACTACCAGATATCAGGAAATACAGAGACAGAGAAGCATGTTAAAAGATACCAAGAGGATGTAGTCAATCAAAAAAAATCAAGACAACAAGAAACTACAGGACAAACAACAAAAACCACACTTGAAGCTCTGACTTGTGGGGAGAAAAGGGGGCAAGGCAGCATATGTAACCTAAACATTTGTACCCTCATAATATGATGAAATTTAAAATAAGTTCAATAGGGAAAAAAATAGAAAGCATTAAAGGGAAAGAGGTAAAGTATTAATTAAGAGCATTTAAGAGTTATATCAACCAAATCCAGCAAATGAATCTTGTTTAGATATAGATCAAATAAACCATTGTATTAAAAACATCCAAGAAACAACTGAGGAAATTTTGAAAATGACTAGCTATGTGATAATTAGGAAGTATTGTTGTTTATTTTTTAATTTGTCATTTGAAATAATCTAGTGAAGGTCAGCAAGTACATGAACATAAAGAAGAGACATGATTGGCCATTATTTAATAATTAGCTGGAAGGTAGATGTATGGAAATAGATTTCACTACTCTCTACTTTTACACATACTTGAAATTTTCCATAATAAAATGTCGAGTTAAAAATGAAATATACCAATATAATAGCTGAAAGATAATTTATAAAGAATTAATGGTTTCATAACTTTATTAAAAAACTAATTTATAGAACTATCATAATTTATAAAACTATCATTAACACTTTTAATAAAGTTTTTTAACTTTATTAAAAAACATAATTTATAAAACTATCATATAAAACTTATTTATAAAACTAATTTATAAAACTATGGCTTATGTCATAGTTGTTTGGAACTGCAGACATTGAAGAAGGAAATAAAGTTTTGTTTCCTAAATTCATTTTAGTACAACTAACTTTGACATAAACGCATAATTTTGGATTGTCTTTTTGAAGACTATCTGTTATCACAAGATGCAGAGTACTTTCTTCCATATAATTTACTTGGCTTCCACAAAATAGTGCTCAACAAGTGTCAATTGTGGTGTTTGAACACGTTTGTATACATGTGTTCCTACACAATGCAATGAATAATATAAAAGAAGTCAAGAAGATTCCCTTTTTTTGAGTC